AGGTGCCCTCAAAAACATCACACCCACAGGCAGCAGATGTTTAAGATCTTGGCTGGGCAGTTGGAGGCCGACAGAAAATGGTGGCACTCGAGTCGTCGAGTGAGGCTGCCAACTGGCGATGAAGCTCTTGGGCAAGGAGGGTTACATGGCCCGGCCCTCAAGAGGGCCCTTCGGTTTCGGTGAAACTCGAAAGAGTTCAATCTGCGTCCTTCTTCTCCTCATGCATTCGCAAAAGAGTGATTTCTGCTTGGGAGCCTGGTCTTGGGCATAACTTGTTGGTAAGGAGGTACCTTCACGTCCCAGCCATTGGCCCATGTGCCCTTGGAGTTCGGGGTGGCCGTACGGACCCGAAGCTTCTGAGATCTGGTTGCCCAAAAAACCGCAGGTTTTGCAGTCCGTCCGTTGCCATGACACCTGACAGAGGGCTGGAAGAGGAAATCGATCTTTCTGGTACCCTTCGACAGGTGCCATGACAATGGAAGGAAGGGTAGTCTACTTCTCCACTTTATCCACTTACCAGGGTTCCATGTTGGGCCCCTGTATGTGAGCCACACCCGTTTCTGCCTTGTTTCGTTTTGGCCTTGGGAACCCCAGAGCCAGGGGGGGCCTTTGTGCCCGGCCCATCACGTTGCCGAGACTTGGCCCAACAGCCCCTAGAATGGTCTGGGAGGAATCGCAACATAGCGAATCACTTTTTTGGTTGTAACCCACCAATGCAATGGTTGTATCTTGTTTGTAACCAGGGTCACTAGCCATTTAGTGATGTGCTTGCAGCAGATGCTCGAACAAAAACTACCGGCTTTGCTTCCGCCAAAAAGCTTCCCCAGCGTGTACCTGTTTCCCACAGGGGAGTTGGACAAACATGCGGTTGAACAACTCGGCGTTGGATCGGTCTAGTTCCTGTGGAGGACGGGTACTTTGACCCTGCTTCTGGGTAAGTCACCTCTGCGGTGGAAAGGGAGGTGGACCAGGTGAATCACCAGAACGTCCTGCATTCTCCTTTCGACGGAGGTGACAGGATTTGACACCTGTACTACACCACACTTGTGGCTTCATCACTGGGTTGTTCGCTTTTCAGGCCTTTTCGCCGCAAAGGCCACAACCCACTTCTGATGCAGGGAGGGTTTTGCCGTCCACTCCGGCGTTCCAAGCCACAGCGCCCAATCAAGTTCGGGGAAAGCATGATGCCCTGCTACTCTACAGCTACGATTGCAAAACTAATGTTGGCCCAGGATTAATAAACCCGTCCCATTATTAGGGGGGGGTGTTCCCTCCAAAAATGATGAATCCCCACTAAAAGGGAGCACCCCCCTATTCATCAACTGGGGGTTTATTAATCCGGGGTTAACATTAGCTTGTCCCTTGTGGGAGGCCGGCTTTGAATCACCGCACAATGGGAAGTGCTTGTGCTCGTTAGCGTTTGGAGGGGTCCTTGTGTTGAGACGATGTGAGTCTTATAAGGACTCACCCAATTTATGAGTTGGAGACAAGGGGTAATTTTGACTCACTGAATTTGAGGGGTGGAATTCGAATTCGTCAAGAATCAAGGTTCCATGTTCGCTGGCACCCTTTTCCATGTTTTCTTCATGGGTTCCCCACTAAGATTGGGGCCAACCCCGAAAGGAGTCTGGTCCATGCGCGTCAGCTTACTCGCAAGCCGGCGCCGGCCAAAGCCAACATAGTAAGCTTGACGGCAGGCTGCAGCCATTCATCCACTTGTCGCTGAACTCTTCCTAGAAAAAGATCCGTTCTGGTGGACGAAATCCATTTCGCACCACCTAATAAACCCTGGATTGATGGTTCACTTCTAAATACCAACAAACAATGCGTTCCCAACAGACAATGCTTTCCCATGGTTTCCAAGTGGGACCGGATTTCGTCCATCCTTCGGGGAGTGAGATTGGAGGGAACCAAAAGCAAGCCAACCCTTTTTTGGTCTTGTTTTGAGAGATACCCATATTGACAGAGAGCATTGCTGGAGTATCTCTCTATGATCACTGGCCCAAATTCCTGTACTGGGTTCCTTCTGGCCCACCCAAACCCCATCCAGCTGCAAGCCACATACCTGCAAAACTATCCGAAAGGTGCCCATTGAGCGCGGCACGCCTAACAGTTTGTTCCGTTTCGATCGAAACTTTGCGATCTGTGGGTTGCCACATACCTTTAGGTGAATTCCCTGGCATTCGACACCCAAAACCGTTTCGGGTTGCCAAACGCCCGGCAAGCAGAGATCGACTTCCAGAGATCGACTCGCAATGCGTCTGCTCCTCGCATGGATCCTATGGAAGCTGTGCTGGGCGGGCCCGGGCTTCGCGGAGTTCCAGGCAATGCGAAAGCCCTTGCTTTGGTTTCGCCCGGCTCTTTGGGTGTGTTTTTGTGTGTGTGTGTGTTTTCCTTTTTTGTGTGTGTGTGTGTGTGTTCTTTGGGTGTGTTTGGTTTTTTGGCTGGTGTGTGTGTTTTGCTTCTTCGTCTTTTAAATGTGTGTTGGTTTATCCCTTTTTGGGTGGGATTTGGAGGGAAGCCAAGAGGAAAGCCGACGCCATTTTGGGGGGGGTCCCCTGAAAAACGACGCGCCCGTTTTGGAGTAGTCAGCGAAGTATTTGGGGAATAGAATCATGACAACGTGTTGCGTGACAAAGTCAGCAAGAGTTTCTGGAGATGAGCTTGGGTGTCCTTGCTTTTTGGGTGGGTGGTTCGAAGCTTTCGGCCAGACGCATGCTGCTTGCGCCAATTCCAAAACCACCCCAAATGCCAAGCCAAAAACTTCGTTCCCAGGCCTTCAGCCGAGTTACTCTGCAAGCAGGGTTTTTGTCCATTCTAAAGCACCTTGAACCAGTGCCTGGACGTCCATGGGGAACCCCGGGAACCCCTATCCACAAGAAAGTGGTACAAAGGCAGAAAAAGGGAATCGGTCCTGGGGGTCCAGGTGGTATCTCCACAAGTCTGCCTTTGGAGCGGGGGAGCGACTGGTATTGTCTTCTAAGTGCTCGCGAGCGCACTCGGCAGTCACATCAAACAAACCCATGGGAAAAATGTCCGCTGACTCATGCATCCCACTCTGCAAGGTTACCCCTTGCTTAGTGTTTTTTTGGTCTTGAAGGACGCCCACTGGGAAAACCACCAATCTGGGGGAACCCTACAAAGCGACGCCATAAAGGTCCAAAGCGAATCGACCTGTTGACGTTTCAGTCTTCCCTTTTCTGGTCCATTTTCTCGGCCATGGTCCCAAAGGTTGACCTTTTATTTCTGGGTCTTTTGGGCAACTGAGTAGTGATGCTACTACCGCGTCTCTTTGTGAGCAGGGTAGCCAAGTAAAAACGTCAAAATATGGAGCCAATGACCCAAAAGTAAGAGGTAGAAAGCAAAACACATGTGCAACCCATGATCCTGAAGCAAACTGCTTTCACCATGGTTTCAAATCATGTTACTTGTGGTTTACCTTTGTACTTGTTTACTTTTTCCTTTTACGATTATGTTACTTAGAATTCGCGTCATTTCCTCCATAAGTTTACATTTTTCTTACTTTTGGGCAATTGGCTCCAGAAGTAACGGCTCTATGGCCCCACTGTGAGCTTGGACGATCTTGGCGCCTTCAAAGTCCTAGCCGGCCTTTTTGCTGTCCTGCGTGGGTTCTATCACCTGGGTTTGTCTCGAAATAGGGCAGCCCCTGCATTTGGTGTTTATCAAATACAAACAAAAGAAAGGCAACCAACAACATTGGGTGGGTTCGGGTGTTTATATAAAATAATAAATGAAACATTTGCGCAGGTTCCGTTTGTATTTCCCTTTACGTCCACCCCCAAACGGGCACCTGAGACCCATTTGGCCCAGATTGCAGCCGTGCCGGTCTGGCCGGCCATTGCCTACCTTGGGGAACATCGAGTTGGATTTATGAGTGTCCAACCTTCCATTGGCTGAAATGAATATGTTCTATGTGAATATGTTCATGGTTGGTTTATTGAAGGAAATCTATTTCACCACTGGAAATAGCTTTTATGTTTCTCAGCTTGAGCAAACGCAAATGGAAGCAACCCAGGGCCCATCCCCCAAAGCAAAGTGGTCGGGTCAACCCGAGGCTTTCAGGGGTACATTGATGAAGGACCGGTGCCTTCAAAACGTCGACCCGGGCGCAGTGCCAGGTTCCGCACCTGAGCTTCCCCGAGTCCAGCAGTATCGTGGCGGTGCCTGTGCTGCGCTCGGGGGGCCGCGACGGCACCTTGGAGGCGCGGCATATCTTGCGGTGTGCTGTGGATGGACACGAAATCCATGCGCTGCGCACCATGGTTCATGAAACCATGGTTGAAACCATTGCTTGGCGAAATCCATAAACCGCACCACAAAATGAAACCATGGTGGAAACCATAACGTTTGTTGGTATTTAGAGGTCCATCCACGGCATCTCCTCTTTCCTTCCCACCCGCCAACGCGCCGGCGTGAGCCGCAAGCGAAACCCGGTTAGATCAAGATGTGGAACGAATATTCCCAAGCATAAATAGAAGCAGCCGGCCGCCTTTCTAAGTCCTTACATAGTTCTGGCTAGGCCATTTTATAACCGCTCGCTTTTGATTATGTCTCACAACTGGTTGGTCCATGTTCGGGTGGGGGGTGGGGGGGGAAGGCTGGGTGACTTCTTCTGAAAGTGGGCGAGCTCACCGATGCAGCCAAAACCAGCGAACACCCATGATGTAGGGCTTTTTCTTCAGGGATCCCGTATTCGAGTTTTGACTTCTTGCACAACTCCAGGCTTCCCAAAGATTGAAGCGGTTAGTTTCAGGATGATCGACTGGTCACTTCAGCTAGTCTTCGCTAGCTGGGGCTGGATCCCGACCAATAAGCTTGGCCGCAAAAGTTGGCACAAGCAATAAATTATTAGCCCCTCCCGAAAAGCCCCTCCAGGCGATAGGTTTGATTGTTGTGCCTCCCGAAATGGCCCAATCGCAGACAGTTGGCCTCCAGATGTTGTTGTTTCATGACGGACCAACTGTCTCCCTTGGCTGGGATTGACTGTGACTAACCTTGCACTGCTACATGAACTTTTCGGTAGATGCACATGTACCAACGAGATATCCTCATGTCACTCTGTATCTGTGAATATCTTTGCGTTCGCACGTGCATGTGCCGTGACGTGCGAGTGTGTGTGAGAGCATGTGTGACAAAGAGTGAGGTGGGAAGAGAAGCTCTGTGTGTGTATATATAGTTTGCTTGTTTATTTGTCATTTTTTATTTGTGCTTTGTTGCTTGCTCGCTCGCTCGCTTTCTTGCTTGTTTGTTTGAATAACTTGCTTGTTTGTTTGTGACTATGTGCCTCGGGCCCGAAGATGCGCAGACTACATGGTCAGCCCGAGAAGGCTCACTCGCACTTGGCATCTTCCGAGTTTGCGAGCCTAACTTACCCTCCTTCCACTTGCTAAAATGAATATTTGTAATTTCCCTTTTGATCTTAAAGGAAAGAAAATCACTACTGAAATTATGTTTATATTTCCAGGGGGCTTAAGCAAATGCGGGCCTTTCAGAACCCTTTGACTCACTTCCTGAATTCATGCGCTTTAGTCACTTCTTAAATCTGAACCATTTTAGCGGCAAACAGAAAGTTCAGTTATTTTGTTTGGCCATCCACTCAGGAAGTGACTTTTTTGTTGGATGCATGAATGCCCCTTCTTCCTGCCGTGAAACGCGGGCTTTCAGCAACAGGCTATTCATCGATGTGCGTGTCGATGTCACATCCAAACGGGCAACCAACAGGAACGCAATCACCCGGAACAATTTACCACTTCCGGCTAGTGTTTGCTGAACCCCTTGTGTCTGAATTAATTTCTATTCGGTTGGATCTTAAGACTTTAACTTTTTGGGACATCAAGGATTCTCCCTTGAGCCCACCAAAAAATAATCACTTTAGCCAACGAGTCAACAGTAACCAAGTGTGTACAACCTTATTTTGAGACAAACCCGCGCCGTGCGCAGGCATGGGTGCGTGTCAACACAACCGCCCGACGCCCAGTTGGAGGGAGGGTGGTGCCACATCCCATACCCGTCAACACAGGCCACGCCCACACCAGGGTGAGTTGGAAGATGGGGGAAATGCACGTTTACCCACTGTATTTGACTCTTTCTAGGGGCACCCTCCCTCCCACTAACATGCGGGAGGGTAACTGGAAGATCAAATTGCTCTTGGAGGGACCCCCTGTCGGGTGCCAAGTCGGTGGGAGAGATGGCATAGAAAAGTCCGAAGCTGGTTGGCTGTTTCCTGAAGCTACTTGGCCGGACGCTCACGGGAACATAGTTAGGGGGGCCGATGGCATGTCCCATGCGTTGCTTCAAGGATCAGGTGCCCAATAACTCGTTGCTGCCATTTCTTGAAAGAAGCGACACCTGAATTTTGTGTTGTCTCCAGTGTCAGGGCACCTGACGGCAAGCTAATGGGAGAGACGGGTCCAAAAGCATGAAGTCCTTGAAGCACAGCCAAGGGTAGTCCGTGAGTTGGGCTTCCCAGGTCAGTGTGAGTTGCTTCCCTCCGTTCCGGTATTTTTGCCAGTGGCTAAAATCCAGGGTTTCCGAGCCATGTCGCTTTTTGTTGGCATGTCGCTAAGCGAACCTTCAAAAGTGGGCAGTTTGAGTGGACAACCCCTGTGAATTGATCAACTTCGGGAATCCAGTGACGCAAACTGGAAAATTGGCCCACTCTGCTGGCCTTTCCTTTCAGGCTGCACAGCTAAGAATGAATCAATAACCATCAAGGTCGCCCGGCTTTTTCCTTGCCCAACCGGGCAACCGGCTGGGCTAATGTTTGGACTTGCATGTTTGCCCCTTACCAAAATGAGGGTGGTAGAAGCGATGTCACAATGTCCTATGGGAAGTCAAAGGGTATGGTTAAATCCAAATGAGACAATCCTGCCACGTACTTTCACCCAGCTGTTTTTCTTTCAGCTGGGCTGTGCTTTTCGCGGCCACGGCGGTTTGTTTTTTTTCAGGTCACCAAAGGGTCCGGGCGCCATATTTCTCTCGGCGGGGTGGGGGTCCCGGGTCCAAAGCCCCTCTGGTCCAGATGTTGAGGCCACCTCCAAGGAAGCATCCGAGTACCGGTTCCAGGACCAGTTGCTGAGGCGGGCTGCAGGCTCCTCCTCCCTTTCATTTTGCAGCAAACAGGGGCTTTCGAAGAAAGATCGAGGACTGGGGACTGGTGGACGTGAAAGATCAGCTCCGTTTGAATAGACGTGGGACGACACGCCCCTATCCGAGAAGCATCCAAACCAAATGGGGGTAAGGGCTTCCTTTCGGGCCCTCGGTCTTGGGTTTCATTTCACCCAGAAACCCTTCTGAGCACAAGACGCCAAAAAAAGGGGAGGGGGGAAACACATCCGACCAGTGTTTTACAAGCCTAGGCGAAGTCTGAGAGGTCCTGAGCCCCCAAACGTCCACCAGGGATCTCAAAATAGGGGACCCCCTCTTGGATTTGTTTTGGGAGTCCCTGAAACAACCATGAGAACGTCGCCAGGTGGGAGGACCAAGATAGCTGGCCCAGGGCTGTAACGCTGGAGCTCATCGATGATAACATCTCCGAGACCAGCGTCGAGGCGCGGGGAAGCGGGAAACGTGTCGAGGCCGGTGATGGGGCTTCACCAGAATTAGCTCCCCTGGTTGACGTTGTTTTCTGCATTTGTGTGGTTTTCTTTGCTTTCCACAAACCAGGCAAAAAGTATAGGTATTGGCTGGGGTCCTAGTTCAAGCCAAGAGGGAACCTGGTCTTGCGACCTGGTTTGGACTCTCCACCTTCCTCTTGACTTTGGCTCAGCGACTTGAGGATAGACAAAACAAGGTTTTTCATTTTAGACATGAGTGGCCGTCCAAGATTTGCTTCTTTAATCCTTTGGGTAAAACTCAATCGGCTCCTTCGTCAAAGCTGTACATCTTCATTATTGGTCCTCGCTATTGTAGTTTGTTTTTCCTAATTCAGAATCCTGTGACTGTTTTAACGGTTCGCTATTGTGGCAAGTTGTTTTGCCCCCCCAGAAAAATCTAACAAAAACGCATAGCTTCTTTCTTCGCTTTCTGGATTTGCTCGGGCTCAGGCTAAACTTGCTAAGCCTTGGTAGCTCCTGTTGAGCTGGAGGCTGGTTCTGAGCTAGAATTGGGAAATTGTTTTCTTGACGTGGTCCCCAAACCATCAAATTTCAGATAACTTCTTTACAAAAAAGTGCGGGCAAACAGTCACACAAAGGGGGGTGCCCACAAGAGGCCCAGATCCTCTTTAATGCGATTGTTTTGGGGTCCTCTTTAGTGTCCAGTGGTTTCGGGGGTTGCTGAAAAAACGACCCTTGGCAATACTAAAGTAGAATTGGCAATACTAAAGTAGAATTGGCAATGCTAGAGTAAGGACTGGGGATCTGAGAGTCAGCCTTGGCAATACTAAAGTAGAACTGGCAATGCTAAAGTCAGCACTGGGAATCTGAGAGGGGGCCTTGGCAATACTAAAGTAGAATTGGCAATACTAAAGTAAGTACTGTCCCTCCCAGATCCCCCAGGATCTCCCCAAAGAGAGTCCCGCCGACTGGTTCCACTGTTCCGGGGAAGGGGGGGGGGTCACACTAAACAGAGTCCAACATTAGACTGCAAGACACCAAGTCCAACTTAAACCTTTGAGCTAAATAACATGTTCAGTGCTGAGCATTGCTCGAGTGTGTTGTTTTTTGCCGTGCATCAACTGCACTCTCATTAGCAACAGGCCTAAGCTGGCCCAAGCCGCCAAGTGCCGCATAGGCCTAAGCCTGGTGCATCTGATCTCCTGGTGCCTGGGTTGGTGACCTCAACCCCGCGCGTCTGGGGTGAGAGATCCCAGGTCTTGGTGCTGAGTCTGGACAACAGCTCTGGCATTAGAGACTTGGAAGCGCCGAGCTCAGGGCGCCCGGATGCGGGATTGAGCGAAATCACATGGGTGGGTCAAAATGAAAGCACCAGGAATTGGACCTCAAGGTTCATGGTTCCACTTACTGGGGCAACCCATTTTAACCACCAGGAATTGGACCTCAGGTTTTGGTCCATGGTTCCACTTACTAGGGCAAGCCATTTCAGGTACCTATTCTTGACCCACCGCCACACGAAGCAGAGGCTCCAGATTTTCCCGTGGTTAGATCCGCAGTTTCAAGCCATGCAGGTGTCGGGTCGCGAGTGCGCAAGCTTCATGACCCTGTTTTGGACTCCCAGCTCCTTTCTCTACTGTTATTGGGTTGGTTTGTGGTGGATGGGATCTTTAGGCTTTAACTTTTTGGATACCCATCATATTTCCTTTTTTAACCTCCAAAAGGTTTTTCCTTTTGCTGCGGGATCTACAGCACCCAAGCTTTCTTCACCGTGACATTGATTTTTTGCAGTTTGCCTTTGCCCGGGCACCGCATGCTATGGGCCTGGCGAGCTCCCGAGCGCTCCCGCGCACGTGCGCGCGCGCCGAGGTGGTCGTTGGCCCTGACGTGGACGGAGGGATCATCTCTTTCACCCACGGTGCCTGGGGTTTCGGAGCCGCGCGAGTCGCGGGTTCCGCGGATCTCCTGTCAGCCTTTTGGGAGGAAAGCGTGGGGCATTTTCGCGGCCACCGAGTCTTGACTCAAAGGACTACTTGCCCATCCATCAAGAGGTTTCCTTATTCGGGGACAAACTGGTGTTCTTTCGCCCCACTGCGCTAGACGCAGAGTGGGCCGGCGTTGCAAGATGAGCGGCGGCTCGATCTCATATTTTAATTGACCAAGGCAACCAAAATGCTTTGAGCACCCGGACCAAGGGGCCCCATCGGGTGCGCCCGTCGGTGCTGAGGTACCGAAAACCTCCGAGAAACTACGCCGATGCTTCCTGAAGGCGCGCTGCAAGAAAGTTGGGACCCGTTTCTTCCGAGCCAAGTTGTCTACTGGGAAAACGTTGGAAGAACAGGGCCTGTGGTTTTTGTCCGCTGTGACCTTAGTCAAGGCTGCTGACTTGTTTCGAAGCCTTGTTGAAGTTATTTAACTAGGGCTGTAACAAACGCACCCTATGGCTGCTAAAGGGAGCATCAATCACGGGGGTGACCACACCGGGCAAAATCCCGCGCTTTGGATTGGTGGTTTGGGGCTTGTAGAACTGGAACTGGAAGAACTCTCCTTCCGCCAAACCGCCAAACCGCCAAAACCACACCTTGTTACGGGAAGCAGAAACCGTGGGGAGGGAGGGGGGTTGTCATATGGGTATGGGTCAAAACAAACTCACCAGGACTTGGACCGCAGGTTTTAGTCTTTGGCTCCATTTACCAGAGGGTCCTAAGGACTAAAACCATTTGACATTGGGTCCTAAAGCTTTGGTTTTAGTCAAACATGTGGCTATGTGGTTCCATTTTGGGCTCACATGTTTGACCCACCGCCAGGCCCGAAGCCTCACTGCCTCATCTACGCGGAGCGCATCCTCCAAAGCCACGGCGTGGCCACGCTGTGGCTGCAGGGCTGCGACTCCGATTTCCGGGTCGAGGCGGGGCAAAGGAGCGGAGCTTGCAGGTTAGGGAGCTTCGCATGTTGCCAAGGGATGTTAGGACTGAACAACTTTTTGCCAACTTTTAAGGGTTTTCCGTATTAAACCACTAAAGGTGAGTCACTTTTAGCAGGGCTTCGCAGATTTCGCAACCGAGTGAGGCTGGGGAGGTTTGATGGGTTCGGCTTGGCCCTCTGCTCCCATTCTAGGTCCCCCAGTAGTGACCTTTTACCCTTTTCTTGGAGAGGATTCCCCTACTAAAATAGGCTACATTTAAAAAAGAAAGTACCCTTATTCTAACCTTTTTTTACTGGAGGACCTAGCATTAGCCTTTTGGGAGGTTGGGCTTTGGCCCTCTCTTTTTGAGCCAGGCCAGCAAGGGCATCGATTACAGCCTACTGAACGCCAGTGAGCCAGTGGTGTGGCAGAATGGCGAGGTCGACAGGCGCGGATGGATTCGTGGTGCGGTTTCGGTCACGGAGAGGGAGGAAGAGAGCCAGTCTAGCCAAGTTAGAGCTCACTTCCTGAGTTCTTGGACTTTTTTCGCTTCTTGGGCTTTGTTGCCGTTTTAGTGGTAAGTAAAAGATGTTGTTAAAAGTTGGGCCATCCACTCAAGAAGCGAAACAGAACAAATGTATGGTTGTGTGGATGCGTGTGTGTGTTTGTGTGGGGTTTTGCTGTTTCGCCGTGGAAGACTGATGTGTTTTGCTGCCAGGAGGTCTGTCTGGAGATTCCCTGAGCAATGTTCAGAGAAGACCCTTCGGAGCTGCCTCAATGCAATTTCTGGATGTCGTCTGTGAAACCATAGTAGGTGGACTTTGGAGTTGACCCCTTCCCATTCGCGCTTGAGGGCAGACTGTGCTGAGGAGGGCAAATTGACCTTATGTCAAAAGCACTCCTCACACGTTCAACCCCAGATCCAGCCAAGTACTCACCGGCAGAGCGGATTGTTGCATCCTTCCCCCTAAACAGTCAGTACAGTAAGGGGTCACCATCTCCCCCCCCCTCCCCAGTAGTCTTCGGTAACGGCTTCGTATCGGCTCTGTGTTTTGAATTGGTTTAGTGGCGGTTCAGAATTGCTTCGTACTGGCGAGTCCCGGTTTAGAACTGGCACCGCCAGAATGCATGTGGTGTGTGTGTGTTTGTCTCATTAGCAAAAGGCTTAGATCTGGCATGGTTTTTTTTGGCCTTGCAGATAAATGTGCCGGAGTGTGAACTCAAACCACTCTGGTTGGCAGGCTGGTTGACCTTTCTTCCCCTGACCCGTCCGGCGGAAGGCGGTGCATCCTGCAGTCCGTGGATAGCACATTGCAGGACCTGAACCGCTCTATGCAGAACCTGCCCCCGTGGCAGAATGGCATACGCATCTGGCAGGATGCGGATGTTGCACCTCAGCCCCAGCTACTCACTTTTTGGTTTCCTGGACTTCAGCCCATTTTGGACTGGGTCCCCTAGTAGATTTTCCCTTTTTTGGGGGAGGGTTCCCCTACTAAAATAGACTACAGAAAAGAGTTGGTACCCTTGTTCTAACCTGGAGAACCTACTAGTGGGAAATAGAAAGTGTGGATTCCTTTTGGCCCATCCACTCAGAAAGTGAGGTCTTTAGTGCTTTACAATATGAGAAGCCAAAGTCAACCCGCATTCAATCAGCTTTTTGTTGGCCTGCTCCACTGAACGAAGACTTATGGCAATGGTAGGTGGGTTATTTCGCCATTATTGTTATCCACGTACTAAGTACAAGCTTCTATTTGCTTAAGAATACTTGTTACTTCCTTTTCTGTGGGAATTAAAGGCAATCTATCCCTACTGGACATATGTTCGCCTTTTTTCCAGGGGGCTTAAGCAAAATGACATTTCATGCAGCCGGTGAGACCGGCTGAAACCGTCAAGGCCTGTTCCATCGCCTTACGCTCTAGGAGTTGGAAGGGTTGGGGGGGATGCTGCCGGCCTTCCCGGCACTATCCCAAAACTTTGTTATCCAGAACAGGTGAACTCACAAAGGGTCAGCTCAAAAAAGACATGCCCGAAGCGGTGCTTCCGGTGGCAGCTTGCACCCCTAAAGGTCCGCCAAGACGGATGTTCAGACACTTGGCCGTTGGGTTTTGGGTTTGATGGCTGTGTTAATTTCTAGGGGGCTGCAAACAAAGCAAAATCTTTGTTGCCATGCCAAGGGTTGGAGATGTTCAGACCCTAAGTCAGGAACCTTTGCCAGGGTTCCAGCCAGATCAACTCACTTCCGGGACTTTAAACGTAAGTGTGAGTGGACATGTTGGCAGAACTTGTTTTCACCACTGGTTGTTTCCTGGACTTGTTTGGGAGGGAAGACCATTTTAGTGGTAAACAACAAGTTTGGTGAATTTTTGTCCGGCCAAGCCACTGGATCGGTGAGTGAACACCCTCAAGTTTCTACCTGGCGCCGATCGGTTCCTGGAAAACGTGCCGATGGCCTTGAAGCAATCCGAATTTCGGCCACCGAGCGTCACTGGCTCAATCCTCCTATTCTTTGTGCACGAAATCAGGCACTTGGGATAGATGGCCATGGGTCAAAAGCCCAAATCGTATCCTTAGTCAACACCCCAATCCCCGCTAAAATAGATACTAAACTGGGTGGTGCACCTAAAGCCCCAAGATGGGTGGTGAATTTATCGGAAGCCCCAAAATGGATCCCAAACCGGTGTTGACAACCACGGCCAGATAAAGCCCTGCAAGCTTGGCACACCTACCAAGTGCCTGGCTTGGAGCTCCGTTCCGTTTTTGAAACAACGGTTGGACAGGGCTCCTTAAAAGATACATTTTGCCCATTTGAAGCATGTTGCTTTTTCCACCCAATAAGGGGAAACCACCATTTACAAGGCAATGTTCAGGTGTATAATGTTGGAGCCGTTGTTTGTTGGCATCTACGTAGGGGAGTCGACTCATTCCAGGGGTTCTGAAAGAATAAATTCGTCCATCCACGATAGGTTTAGGGTACTTGAAGGGGCGAGCGGGTACTTGGTAAGTGGTTAGTAAGCCTGGTTTTAACCCACTGAACGGAGACTTATAGCAATGGTAAGTGGGCTATTTCGCCATCATTTCTATCCACGTACTAAGTGCAAGCTTCTATTTGCTTAAGAGTAGTTATTATTTCCCCCCTGTGGGAATTAAAGGAAATCTATTCCTGCTGGACATATGTTCGCCTTTTTGCAGGGGGCTTAAGCAAAATGACAGTCTCACTTATCCAAAGCTGACCTTGTGATTTTTGTGTATTTTACTTTTGGTCAATGTTTAGTTGTAGCCCCAAATAGTTCACCTTTTGTTTCTGCGTCCTTGGGCAACTGAGCGGTCCGTTTCGGGTGGGCGTTGACGCCAATGGCAACCGAGGAGTTGGACGAGGTCCTTTGTTTTGGTTTTATTTCCACGGGTGCAACGCTGGCAACCAGAGGCTTGGCGCGAATTGGTTGACTTGGGAGGTACTCAGCATTTTAACCTTTGAGTTTTCCATTTTGGATCCACTTTTAGCAAAGGGCCTTTGAGCAACTGAGATAAGCCTCCTGTTCATGTTTAAGGTTGAACCCATATTTATCAACCCCTGTTTAGTTTCTTGGGGGGGTATGCCCTTTAAAAGTTGTAGAATTAGACACCCCCGTAAAAAATAAACTGGTGTTGACTAGTATGGGGTCAACATTATGGTGGTGTTCCCCTGCAAAAGTTGTCTGAATCCCCACTAAAACCAGGAACACGCCCATATGAATGAAGTAGGGGTTATTAATCCAAAGTCAACACTAGTCCTCAACATGGGTATGCCACATTTTTGAGCCACCAGGAATTGCACCGCAGGTTTTAGTCAATGGTCCCAATTTGCGGTTGCGCCCATTTTTGACCCACAGCCAAATGCGGTCATCAATCGACAAACCACTCAACTTTCTGGGGGCGATTTGAGCCCAAGCGCGTTCGTGTCCTCGGCCTGGCGTTTTGGTTTTTTCCAGCCTCCTGCGCAAAGGTCGGCTGAGCCCCTAAAGCTTCAACTGGTTGCAGGCCGAGGGCTTCTCACACCGGTTGCTTTGGGTCCTTTCCTTTCAACCAGGGTGTCACTTTCATGGACAACAAGGGACATGGCATACCAAAAAGCAGAAAGGTTTCCTTTGAACCGCAGCACTTCAGGGTTTCCGAGCCATGCCCCTTTTTGGAACCTCCACAAGTGGCGATCATTAGTTTTCATTGCAACTTTTGAAGAGGGTTACCCAGCGACCCCTGTACTTCATTCAGGGGCTAGAGCCCTGTAAAACGGAGGCCCTTTGAAACGAAGGCTCCAGACATGTTCCATGTTTGCACCTTCTAGCTTTGGAGATAGCTCATTTGGATGATTGGTCTAAGGGTCCTCCGGTCAAGTCTGTTTTTTAAGGCCAAAGGCCAAAGGCTCAAAGACCAAGACACTCCAAATGTGCTCAGAGGAGCCGCGCCCGTTGAGGCCAACTTGGGCCAACTTGGGCCAACTTGGGCCATGCGGCAAACAGCCTCAGTTCATGGCCACTGCTTCTTGTTTCGGTGATATGCGGCTTCATGACACAATGCCAGCAATTCACTTTGGATTCATAGGTGTCCTGTTTGGTTGTTGTGCTTTAAAAATAGAAGGCCCTGGTTGACCTGGTGGTTCAATCAACTACCAGGGCCATCTATTTTCCAAGAAGGACACGTATGTTTGGATTGATTCTGCATTTGCCAAGTTCTCAGAATGGGAATGTCACCAGCGGGGGCCCGAGAGCAACTCATGCTCTCTGATGGCTCCAAGGACGGGTGGAGTTTCGACTGGCAGATGCCGGAACCGACGGCCTGGCCCTGAATCCGAGCAAGCGATTCTTTCGGCAGAGTTGATAAGCCGATTTGCTCAACGCCAGCTGGCTGTGGGTTTAAACCGATGGGATCCCATGTAGGCGCAATATAACCCAAGAGGGGTACCCCTAAGAGTTGTGTGAGCTGGGGGCAACCCTCCCGACATGGAACTCACCGAACGTCCTTGAGGCCAAGTAGCTTCCACTGCTGGGGCAAGCAGCAAACCGACGCCCAGAAAAGGGGACCCCAGTGAGCAATAGGGAAAAGCCGTGCGTTTTGCCGGGGCTGGCAGCGTGCCAGACCGGCAGAACATGCCCAGCTTACCCGGCATGGAAATGGCAAAGCTTGTGCTTGCCTACTGGCAAGCCCATACTCTTGTTCCACAAAGAAAGGAAAGAGTCGCATTGCGAAATGAAAACAAACGCGAGGCCGGTGAACATCCCAATCCAACCACTAAAATAGAGTAAAATGTGGGGTGCTTACATGTTCGCTTCTCGAAACCGCGGGGTTCCCTTTTGAGCCACCAAGGCTTGATTGCTATGGGCCTGAATGCTTCGACTTGAGCGTTTTTGGGGACAAAAAACAGGTTTCCAATAAACCCCACAAATCGTGAAACACGGTTGCAGAGGGGTCGTTACAGCAACCAAGCAAAGAGGGGGTCATTTTGAGGACGCTATTTTGGCCCCCCCAGTTCAGAGGCCCATTGTACCGCACGTCGCTCATTTGGCGTCTCTCAGGGGCCGGCATCGCCGTTTGCACGCAGGGCGAGGCGGGTTCGCGGGTTGGCGACCCACCCGAGGGCTTGCAACTGTGGCTGTCACTGGCTGGCTTTACTGAAAGGCAAATGGTAAAACCGCCAAACCAAAGAAGTCGCAGATGCTCGGACGCAGTTTTTCCCTTGTGATTCTTGCTCAGACCGGCCCGTCCCCCAGTCAGCCCCCACAGCCTAGGACACATACGGCGCCCGCATGTGCCGAGATCCTGGGGGCGCGTTCGAAAAGTCTCACCCTTTGTCCAGCCTCATGTTGTTTGTTTGCTTTAGGGTGGTTGTTTTGTCCTTTTTTGTGGGTGTGCATCTAAGTCCAGGGTGGTCGTATTCGTTTTGCGGACGTGGCAATCATCAACTACTCTGGATGGATCTCCGCGCGCACCACTTTGAATCCATGGTTGAAACATCCATTGTTTGTTGGTGTTAAAAGCGGAGCCAAATCATTCCCGGGTTTCTGAACGGTGCGAAATGGATTTTGTTCATCCATGTGAAAATTTCACTTGCCCCGACGTGCGAGAACTGAACCGCCGCCCATTTCGCGTGCATCAGTATCGCTTTGTTTGGGGTGACATGCAAGCGCGTCAGCGCCTGCAGCCAGCGGCCCCATTTCACTAGCTGAGCCTTGCCTGGGTTTGTCACAAAAGGGGAAGCCCCAAAACGGTTGCCGTTTTGGTGGTTCCCAAAGTATTATCGTCGCCCGCAAGGGTCGAGAGGAATCGACCGTATTGAAATCCTAAAAGCGCTGTGAGCCAAAAAAAAAAAGAAGGCAAACCTGCCCTTGTGCTCCAGATACTCCCTTTGGTTTCATGTTAACTTCCATGTGCTTAGGAATATGTTTGTTTTCCCTTGCTGGTGTTAAAGGGATTCTATCACTTCTGGACACATTTTCTCATTCGGCGTAAGCAAGTGGAAGTTCGCCTGGGGCGTTTCCACTTCGACACTCTTTTGGGACGAAGGCCTGCTTGGTGAACCTTACGGGCCTCCACGTGGGAAGGAGTGATCGGATCATCACTACGAGGAGGGAGACGCCGGTGTTCCTCATTGGGAACCCAGGGCGCTGAAAAACAGTGAATAACCCTCGGTTGATTGACAAGAGGAGACAAACCAAAAGTACAAAAGAAAAAACCTTTTGGGGGGAAGGAAGAATCGTGTTTGAAGAAACGCTTCCAGGTGTTTTGGACATCTATTTGGGATTGCCCACAGTCCAGGGAAGCCAAGGGTCTATCACACCGTTTTGAGAGGAAAGCCTTGAGCTTTTGAGTCGTACAGCAAGAATCCGCCGCAATCTGGGGCCACAAACCACTTGGTGATGTTTCCCCTGGTTTCAATGGCAGTCTCCGGAAGCTTCCCATGAAGATTCTGCCGCCGAGTGGGCGGCATCGTTCAAAGTCGTGCATCCCCTTGGCCCAATTTGAAGATGCGGTTCCTTGTTTGGTGATAGGGAAACGAGTTGCCAGTCCAGTCATTGATGCGCTCGGCTGCCAGCACCCTCCCACCAAACATGCAAGCTGTTTGAACATTGTTTACATTACTTCACTGTTGTTCGCATGTGTCTGAGGCTTTTGGTTGTTGTTTGGTTCTGTTCATTTTGAATTGGCTGCAAAAACAACGTCTTTTGCAAGCCCATACCGGTTGGAAAGTTACAATATCAGCTAAGGTTCGTGGGAGAGTCCCGAATCACGCTGGCCTGGCAGGAATTGTACCTGGTTTGCCTGTGCTGCGAATATGTATGCTGATTATGAGCTGGCACCTGGGCCAAAACAACTTGACTGCTATTGGGATTTTTAGACTTTAACTTTTTGGGAAATCAAGGGGCTTCCCACCAAACCTCCAAAAAGTTAAGCTTTTTGCACGGGGGTCAACCGCAACCAAGACAAGAATGGTCCGCTTGCAAGTCATCGCGAAGAGTTGGGTGCCAGGCAAACATAGTTTAGGTAGTGAGCTTGGACGCAAAACGAAATCCGTGATGAAGGCCCCCCTTAGGGGTCGTTTGCTTTAGGTGGTGAGCGCAGATGTCCATGATGAAGGCCGCATAAAGGGGGTCACTTAGGTAGATGAAGTTCACAATTCCTGCAGAATCGTGCAAACATGTTGGTGCATTGAGCCTTTCTCTGTTCACCGCTTGTGTCATTGGCCTGCTTTCCAGAAAGGACAACGAGGGGCCTTCCAGAGAATTGGCGCAGAACCAACCAAGTGATTGCACGAGAGATGGCGGCACGGCAGCATCAACTCCAAGCTTCTCTTGGCAATGCGCAGAAACGCACGAGAAATACTCTTTGGCCGACCCCCTGCGCAGATCGCACATGTCGATGTACCAAAAGCAGGAGGCACCAACATCTGAGAAGACATGTTATTTTTTTGTTGTTGCACAATCCCACAATTTGTGCGTGGATCGCGCGTGTTTACTTGGAGACCTGTATACAGGGAATGCTACTGTGTTAACGCCCCACACGACTTTTGTTCGTGGTGTATAGTGCATGGTGCGCATCGGATGTGTGAACAGTTTTGAAGATTGAACATGGGCCTAAAAGTTTATCAGGTGGATTGCGTCCCGCGTTGGAAGCAACAGCCCCGGAGTGCATGTCGAGATTCACAGCAAGAGGGCCTTCCCGAAAAAAAATCCACAGATTTCTCAGAGTTGCACAAAACAGGAGATTGCCCGGTTTTTTTTGCGCAGAGAGAGGCCTTATATAGAGGGATCGCTCAAGGGAGAGCCTTTCAAGAGATCGCTCAGAAAGATTGCTCGGAGTGATTGCCCACTGAGGTTGATCCTGGAGATTGCAAAATAAAACTGCGCAGGGAGATTGCGCAAAGAGAGAGCGAGAGAGAGAGTGCTCAGAGAGACTGCCCCGAGAGTGTGGTCAGAGAGATTGCACGGAGATCATGCTGTAAACTTGAGCAAGGAGACGTCTCAAAGACAATGCGCAGAGAGATTACTCACAGCGATTGCAAAGAGACAGTACTGAGAATGATTCCAGAGACTTGGCCACGAACAATCTCCGAGGAAAACTTAACCTCTTCGCTGGAAAACTCTCCATAGATGCATGCGTGAGCGTGTATGCTTGCACAGGTGTGCGTGTGTATGCGTTCGTATATCGATATGCTGAAATTGTGCTTGCAAGATAGAAAACATTGATCTTAGAGAGGTCTCAATATGTATACATGTTTATAGACATATATATATATATATGTGTGTGTGTGTTGTGTGTGTGTCTGTCTCTGTCTCCTCTGTGTCTCTCTGTATGCAACAGGCCCAGGGTGTGCATGTGAGCCATGGGTGTCTTGCCACCCTTTTCTTCTCTGCTGCCAGAGCTTGGAGTTGGCACAGCCAATTGCTTCATTCTCCAGGCCACTCCCATTTGTTGTGAAGAAACATGCCCTTTGCAGTTCCATGATTTTACGAGGCCAATTGGTTCAGGAACTCTCATATTTTCGAAAAACATCGAGAAACGTTTCTTCTACTGCCCATGTTTCCCTGCTGGAGTGTAGCACCCGAGTGACTATGGAGTGCGCTTCTGCCCGCATTTCCTGGCAGCTTCTGCATGTTCACTAGGTGAGAAGGCCTGATGCGGCCACGGTGCTTGAATTTCACGGGGGGTCCAAAGGTAACCTGTTTGACTGAAAGGAGCTCAGGGTGGTCCAGCCGCTAACAACAGATACGAGGTATGCTTTGAAATGTATATGTATAACCCCCCCCCACCCCCCCACCCGAAACCCAAATACATGTTTAATACAAAACAACAAAATACCCCAGTGTCAGATTTTGGTGGCCCTATATTTTTGAGTCACCCACTTTTGTTTCAGCCGAAAATGGGCGGGATCTTATAGAGGGCAGGCGCTTTTCAGCGGTCAAAGATCTTCCTGAGGCAACGGATGAGAACAATACAATCTACGTTCCGGCCGCCGACCTCATGTACCATGACACAGGGGCGTGGTATACCTGCCGCTGCAGCTCGGCTGGTCAACACATCGCGCCAGGATGCGGGTTGATGGCAGGTGTGCAACACATGTGGCTGGGTCGGGGTATGGCGCGATTGGAAAAAGAGATGCAATTTGGAGGGCGGCCAATTGGGGCTGACAGGTTGACAAACGCCGGCTTATCGAGGCGTAGCTTGGCAAAGGAGATGCCATGCGTCTACTTGAAGCTCACACTTTAAACCAAAATCATTTCACTTGTGACAAAACGACATGGACACTGCTATGCAAAATGAAGATGGCACTCACTAACATAGAGCCTCCGAGCCTGTGAGTTTGTTTGGCCGTGGGTCAAAACCAATAGTACCAGTTGGGGGTAGGTGCACCACCCATTTTAGAACCTATTTTAGCGGGGTTGAGATGTTCACTGGGGGTACGGGCTTTTGACCCATGGCCATTTGTGACCCAAAGCCCACTTTTGTCTTTGTGGGATTTGGCCTTTCTGGGACAGTCTGGGGCAGTGGGGCGTTCCCACAATGTTGGCAATTGGTTGGTGCATGCAAACTACTTCCATTTGCTGAAATGAATGTGTGTCTGTTGGTATTAAAGGGAATTGATTTCACTGCAGGAAATATTCTCTCATTTCCGAGTGCACTTCAGCAAATGGTCAGAATACTTCATCTGCGGGTCCGAGATTCTAAAAGCTGCCGCTCGTGTCGCGAAGTTCTGGGCGTTCCAAATCCGTTCGAAGAAATCCATGGATGGGATGGCTTGTTTCTGGATGGTTTGTTTCTGGAGTGTTTTATGGATGGTCTGTTTCTGGTGTCCCAGTTTCAGATCAGGGAGTGGTTTAACCATGTTTGAAGACCCCCCGGCCATTGCTCCGTAGGCTTTGACGTGTTGCAGGAGGCTCAAGCCGTGCTGAAGGCCGGGTGTCACAGGTGTGGGGCTCGGGGCCACCAAAGAATTTTCAGACACGGGGGCCGCCAGAACTGCCTCAGTGCCCTTTCTCACCGTTTCTTTTTGGGGGCAGGGTTCAATTCCCTATTAAAATAGACAGGAAAAAGGCATCCTCATTCTAACCTCTCTACTGGAGGACCTAGATGCGCACCTCCTGAATTGGACTTTAAGCCTTTTTGGGGAGACTGTGAGAGGCGCTCAAAACGTTGGGACTGTTGTGGGCCCATCCACTCAGAAGTGAGCATACAGGTGGTGCGCACTACTGGTCTATCTCTCAATCCCTCAGTTTTGGGCGCAATGCTCCCTAGAATCTGAGGGGCTGGGTTCCATGGCAGCGGCGGGCAAGGGCAACGCGAATCTGTCGCTCTGCCTGTGGAACCATTCAGTCGCAATGGGCTCGGCGGGGCATATGGGAGCAGCGGCTTCAAAGGCCGTCGGTAGAAGCTCAAGCCTGCGACTGCCCTGTTACAAACAGCACGGGGATAGGGGAGGCCTTGCCTTGTGCCCCCTTCAAAATCAACCTCGGGATTCCTCAAGACGGGCCCAAATTCTATCGCGAGGTGGGCAAAAAAGCAAACCGCAGGCGTGGGCTGCTTTTTCCCCCCAAAGCAACTCCCATTCTCCCCTCCCCCCCCCCATTTGACCAGTCGCCCCAGCCAGCCATCCATCCATCCACCCCGTTCTGACACCTCAGGTGGATCTCCAAGGGCCCTTCCGCGACAACTTCTGGGCCTGCGTCCTGGGCTGGCCCGGCTGCCACGGGCACCTTCGACCAAAACGAAGACCCAGCGGCCCGTTGTTTGGCCCAGGGGAATCCAGGCAACGCAACGCACCACCCAACCAAACCCAAGGGAATGCGTCGATTCCCCAACGCAAATACCAACAATGGGTTCAACCCATTGCTTCAAAGTGGCGCGATCTGGATTTCGTCCATCCACAGGGAATCTGGGAATGAACCCAGCTGGATTTGGTTTGTTTGTGTGTGTTTTGTGTGTGTGTGTGTTTTTAGTTCTCATTCGCTGCCTATCGCACCAGCAAGGTAGGTGATATTTGAAAAGTCACCCTAGGACTCGCGAACTCTGGCGCTTGCCTTCCCTACTTCCATTTGCTGAAATGAATGGTATCCTAATTAATTATTTAAACAAAAACATGTTGGTTCAGGGAATCGATGTACTGGAAATATGTTCTCATTTGTCCAGGGGCCTGTCCGCAACTGGAAGAAGTTACTATAATGGTGGTTTCTTAGTTTAGCGCCCAGGCTGTTGGCAGCAAACAAAGGGCGATGAGCTTTGTTCGGGGGATAGCGATGCTGCCTTACAGTGCTGGAGTGAGTTGTTTGGAGGGGCCCTCCAAAAGAGCTTTGGTTTTCCTTTGGTTTGCACACCCATACCGAAAGAAAGTTGAAATGGTCTCACAGGGAAAGCACAAATGGTGGATGCGTGTTTTCTTTCTTGGCCAAGCGCAAAAGGAGACCAAAAGACAAGTCCTCTCAAGCGACGAGCGCCAATGGAATTTCAAGACCGGGTTTCCGGGGATCGCCGAAATGGGACCCCATTCTGGAAAGGGTGTGCTTCTTGAGAGCCTTCGACTCACTTGCCCAATGCCGAGCCTTTGACGTTTGCCCATGTTGGTCCACCGTTGAAGGTGCGAAAGGCTGTCTCACCCTGTATGTCTGCGTCCTTTTTGGGCAGCTCAATCGAAAACATGAGTTGTTCAACTAGGTCCCACCCCTTTTTTGGGGGAGGGTCCCCTACTAAAATAGACTACAGGAAAAAAAAAAAACAAAAACAAAATCAAAAAAAAGTAGGTACCCTTATTCTAACCTCTCTACTGGGGGACCTAGTCAAAAAGAGCAAACCCATTGACCAGGGAGTTCCCTTCAAAGCCTGGAATTTCAACTTCCGCGTTCTGAGTGAGTCGAGGCGTCTGACCAGCTCCGGGGACAAAGCCCTGCAGCACGTGCGCGTCCTGCAGAGCTGCCCCAAGCTGGGCATGAACGCGACATCGGCGCCTCCCTCAGCGAGAGACGCGAGAGATCGCGCCGGAAAAGCGTCCGAAAGCCAAGCAGATCTCGGGCTTTCCATGTGAAATGCGCAGCAAGCTCGGTGCTTTTTAATGGCCACTGGCGGCTGCTGGTTTCTTCAAAGGCAAGCCAGAAAAAACAAGGGTTGAATGTCAGGGACTTTGGCAAGCAACATGCCAAAAGGCCTGCCTTTTGCCTGGATCTTCCTTTTCAGCTTGATCTTGAAGTTCGCTTGCGAAGCACAGTCTTGGGGAACCCTAGTTTTGAAGGGGGGGCCATTCTGGTCAGTTTGTTGTGGCCCCCAAAGGGTTAAAGTTGAAAATGTTTGGGTCCAAACTGGGCAACTGAGAATGTGTTTTTTGTGAAAAAGGTTCTCCGGCGCGAGTAGAAAAGACAAACCGCACTAGCAGGTCGGTGGAGTCTTCAAGTCTTAAAGCGGGCCATGCCCTCAGAACCAACACGGCAACCGCACTAGCAAGTCGGTGGAGTCTTCAAGTCTTAAAGCGGGCCATGCCCTCGGAACCAACCCGGCACCTATGTGTTCCATTTAGGACATCTATCTTTCCATTTGCTTGTGCTTGTGCTAGATTACCACTGGGTTGGATCTTTAGGCTCTACTTTTTTCACAAGTCCGTACAGTGTCCGAACTGCACCCAGAAAAATTATGTAAGAAGCTTGCTGCAGAGGGGTCTCACCAGAGCCCCCCATCCGGGTTTGAGGACTTCAGGGATCTCGGCGTCACAGCGCGCTACAACTCCAGCACCGATTTGTTTGACCTCGTGGATGTGCAGGCGACGTGGGTGGAATCGGAAGGCCAAGATTTTTTGTGCGGGAGCAAGAAGGTCCGAACATGGGACTACCATTGGCGGGATATGCCACGAAAAAGATGCGAGGTGTCAACACACATGGGAAAAAGTTACCTATGATGTTGTTTGGGGGGCCAAACGGAATATTGATCAGCCCCCAAATGGATCTGAACTGAACAGGAGATCTTAAAACGGGTTTGTTCCCCCGACTTGTTTATGCAAGACAAGTACTCAGCCATGCTTCAGGCATGGAACAAGATGAAGGCAAGCCCAAGCATTGAGAGTTGTTGGTGATGACCAATCCCTGCCACTGCGCGTTGTAGAAAAATGAACTCATCGCAAAGTGCTTGGCAACTTTTCTACCGCTCCCTTGGCGATGGGCGGCTTCGGCGATGCAGACAGTGACCAAGACGGACCCTGGCTTATACGAGCTGTGCTGGTGCCAGGAGAACCCGGACACAGGACAGGCCTGTTGGCCAGGTCCCCCAGTAGTGCCCTTTTAATCTTTTTTGAAGGAGGGTTCCCCTATCAAAATAGACTACAGAAAAAGAACAAAACAGAGGACCCTTACTCTAACCTCTCTACTGGAGGACCTAGTTGGTGTTCTGAATGTGGGCCGGGTCTTTGGCGTGGTGCTTCTGCATTTGGCACTGGAGTACGCAACCTGTCGGATTAATGAATCGAAGGACTGCCTCCGCACAGATTTGCGGCTCCCCTGCGCAAAAGCGCATCCGCTAAGAATAACCCAGGAGGTCTTAAAGGAATGCAGGGCTATTCTGAGGACCGTTCTTTTTCCATCCATTTTGTCCCAGTTGCCCAGCGGATCCCGCCCTTTTTCCTTTTTTTGGGGGAAGGGTTGCCCTTTAAACTCAACTAGCCACAAAAAGAAAAAATCCCTTTTGTTCCCACGGAAATCTGTGTGGCGGATTGCTTGCCCTCCCCCAGGCTAACACGAAAGCTACCCCACTTGGCCTCAAATGGGTCACCAAGGCTTCCGTTTCGGGGTGCGCTCGGGAGCTTCCATGGAAAATCGCGTGGGGGAGGCTTTGCGCGCAAAGATCTGCAGGACGGAACTGCTCTGACGTCTTCGAGTTCATTGTGGTTGCAGGCGAACGCGCGAGCCGCAATGGGGGAGGGCCCAGGACAAAAATGTTGAGTCTTAGAATAGAAGGAACCCCTCTTTCTTGGTTTCCCTTTAACATCACTGCACAGGGGTACCTTCGACACAAGGCCCACGCTTTCTGTTTTCCAGGATTGAAGCGTTAAGCCAGCAAACATCGGCGGGATGGTCATTTTCACATGTACTACTTGGCGGATCCCAGCGAATCACTTTGTTTAGTTGGTTGAGTGGTTGGGTTTCCATTTAATCCACAAGTTGAGCTTTTGGTAGGGGATCTGAGCCCAGCTAAGAGCATGCGAGTTGAGGATGGGCCTAGTGACGAGCAAGAACTAGCTTACGTTCGTTACCAGGGCCGGAGGGCCGTTCTGAAGTATGCCTTTTCGACCTTTCCTGGGGTGGAGCCACATGCTGCGTGTTGGCTCAAAGTGGCTCGACTAAATGTTGGGGAAATGTCTTTTTTGAGGGTACCCCCTTTTGCATGGTGTCAAAGGGAAACCATTTCGGAACACCAAAATCCATGTTGGGCGCTCCGCAAGACGAGCCACCCATGTGAGTTCGCCACACCTATGTGATGTTTGTGTCCAGTTCTCGGCTTGGGAGATCGACCGGTTGGCCGCTTGGCGATCTTCTGGGACATTGAAATGTGACGTGTTTTTCCTTGGGATCCGAACTTTTTCAGCTTGGTAGTGGCAAAGGCGGAATTACAAGCACCCTAAAAGGGTGGTTCCTCTTATCTGGACACACAGTGTTGCTTTGTGAGCGTCGCAGCACTTGAAGGTGATCTCTTTAGGCGTCATGTCTGCTTTTGGGCCCAGGTATAGCCGTTGCCTGAGAATCCAGGGGTCATCATGATATATATATATATATGTATATATATATATATATATATGCTTGCTTTTCTCTCTTTTTTGCGCAGGACGATGCCACGGCGCATAATCGTTTGCGGAAGTCGCTGTCCGCAGGACTTCGCCGGAGCCAGTTTGGCGCCAGTGCCGTCGAGGTCTTAAGACACCAAAACCCCTGCGAGCAGACGACCATCATCTGTTAGATCCGCAAGCCAGCATGGTTGGGGGCTTATACTGCGGGTGATGCCAGGCTCATCCGCGCGCTTTTGGTATAGCCCACCTTCTTCAGGACATTATGATTCCATGTTCAAGCTTTCCGTTTTTCGGAAGGTACCAAGGGAACGTGAAGGATCGTCAACCCAAAACGCGCGCCAAACGCGCGCCACACACGAACCCACACGCCCACACGCACACACGCGCAGGTAGGCTCCAAGTGAATGGCCCGTACCGGCTGGCGGAACAGACCTTTGACGTGAACACCGCCCTGAAGGCGGGAGCCTGGCAGCCAGTGAGCTGATTTCTAAACTGTAAATGAAAGGAATTTGCCAAGTGACGTTATTCTTTTCAGGCAATACCTGGCACGGAGATGGATGCAGTTTGCGGTTCGCTGTTGGCAAAGATGAAACACACGGTCTATGTGCAGGGCCAATGCCCCAGAGACTTTGCTGTTTTGGCCAAATTTTTGTCAGGCCCCCGGTCAAACGCTCATTTCCAGGTGCTTCGTGAATTAGGAGGTCCAATTCAATGTTTAGGAAAGCCAGGCACAGTCCTGTCCATCAAAGTGCTAAGGAGCCCAAAATACCACCAGAATCTCTGAGCATCTTCCATGCTCAACCCTTTTGTCAGCTTTCGTCTAGTGGCAACTTGTGATGGATGTAGCACATTCGCCTGAGCCATGTTAAGGGCAAACCTCTTTGGAAGGAAGCGTCATATCCGAGACTTCAATTGCCCGCGTTGCAGTCCAAGCGGGGTTCCGCCAAGGCGAATCCTGATGCCGGATATTTCCTTTTGGCTCGTGGCCATCGTCCAACCTGAGTTTCAGGAAGCAAACCAACATCCTGCACTCACATGACCTTCAAGCTAGCAGATTTGGGAGGTAGGTGGGAGCCTAGGCCAAGTCCCGGAATTTTCCTCACTGTTTGAGCCCACATGCATGGAGCCGCTGTGTTGGCGTCCTTCTGTCAAGGAAGTGGGTGAGGTACCCTTTGACATCTTGTGTTCGAAAGGCGGCCAGGGTTTGGCGCAGAGAGGATAAGATTCCATCCTGACTTGGTCCATAGACAGCAGAAACAACGGCGCCACAAATTCGGGGAGCATGCTTTCCCAGAGGAATCTCCACGAACCGATCCGCATCTTGACCCGCGGGAGAGGTGAGCCTCAAGGGCACTGAGTTGACCAGCCAAGACGTCCTGTGGCTCTCGGAATTCCCCGACTGCGAGGGCGGCCGTCGAATGCACACAGACTCCGGGTACATCTTCCGAATGGTGGCTTTTGCGGCACGGAGATTGAAGTCCTCACTTCAATACGAAAAGGGGCATTCTGCTAGGAAGTGGGTAGTAACCATGGTTATAACCCACTTACCATGGTAAAACGTCTCCTAAGTGGGTTAGAACCATGGTTACTATCCACTTCCTAAGTACCCTGCCCCTAATTGAAGAAGTGGTTATTGCAAAGTATCTTTTGAGTTCATCGCAGAAGTGGGCAATTCCCACACCGGGGTCAACGGTCAGAAAATGTCAGATTGCGGTTCCAGATCCCAATCCCCTCTGTC